AGAAAACAAAGGCATTCTAAAAACAAAAATGTTATTACTTAAAAAAAAAAAGGCTACTTTCAAAACTTTTCAAGGTGAAACAACACAGGCAAAATTTCAGGACATGTTAAAATAAGAAAATATATCTTTTCTATTATAAGGGATAAATTAGAAGGCTATTATAATTGTTTACAAAGAGGAATCAACCTCAACTTTTGCCGCGATCATACGTGTTAGGGCAAAAAAAAAAATGTCCAAATGAACGGCCCGTGATGCAACAAAATTTATTTTTTATGCCATGAACTATGGCGATTTTAAAGCTAGCAATGGTTTGCATGACAGGTTCAAGACAAAAAGAAATCTAGATTTAAGAATAATATATGGAAGCATGAAAGAAAATGAAAGAAAAAAAAACACTTATTAACTTTATTTGAAAGGTGCAATGCTTGAAGAGTGCTTTAAAGCAATAAGGTATTAGAGCCATATTTTCAAGTAAACATTGTATTATATAATGTGATAAAGATGTTTTAAAATCATTTTATAACCTTATATAATATATATTTAATAAAACTTTCCCTAGGATTTGTCTTGATTTTGAAATTAGACATAGAGGTACATGTATGCTAATGACAAGAAAAACCTATCATCTAATGATTTCTTTTATTATTCAGCATTAATGTAAGTAAATTGGTCAATTAAGGGAATTAAAACAAAGTGACCACTATTAAGAGGCAGCCTCTTCCAGTGTGTATGGCTGTCCTTTAATTATACGGTCTAAAAATTTTGAAAAGTAAAAAAAAAAATAGTCAAACCGTGGCTATAGTGAACCAAAAGCTCTGTCCCATTGGGGTTCACTATAGAGGGGTGTTACTGTATATGTTGTAATGTAGTTTATCCTGTTGGATGACTGTAGTATGTTGGTTAGAAGCAGTCGTGGTGGTTGAGTGATGGGTAGTAAGGACACACAGGAGACAGAGGCCCTGTGAGGAATAGATCGGGGAGGAAAGATAGAAGGTCCGAGAACAACCCCTAGAACAACTGGCGTCGGGATAAATACCTTTACTATCGACGAGGTGTCCAAACACTCTTATTCGTTTGGTTCCGAAAAGGCACTTTTTTGGGTTGAGGCGTAGCTCGGCTTTGTCGAGACATTGTAGTATGATTTCAAGCCTGTGTAAATGTTCGTTGAACGATTTGGAATACACCACGATGTCGTCTAAATAACAGAGGGCCATCGTCCATTTCAGGCCTTTCAATATCTTGTCCATCATGCGCTCGAATGTTGCAGGGGCATTGCACAGGCCAAAGGGCATGACTAGGAATTCGTAGAGTCCGTCAGGGGTAATAAAGGCAGTTTTTTCTCTATCTGCTTCGTCGACTTCTATTTGCCAATATCCTGAACGAAGGTCCATTGATGAATAAAATTTAGCTCCTTTCAGAGAGTCAAGTGTATCATCGATTCGGGGTAGTGGGTAAACGTCTTTTTTTGTAACTTTGTTTAGTCGTCTGTAATCCACACAGAAACGCCAGTTACCATCCTTCTTCTTCACTAAAATAACCGGCGATGACCATGGACTTTCTGAATGACGTATAATCCCGGCGTCTAGCATTTTGTCCACTTCCATTTGGATTGCTTGGCGTTCTGTAGGGGAGACTCGATATGGTCTATGCTTAATAGGCTGATGGTTTCCAGTTTCAATTTTATGTTTGGTTACTGAAGTTTGCTTTACTGGTTCATTATTTTTATCAAATATTTTATCATATCGTTTTAAAATTGATAAGATTTGAGACTGCTGCTCTTCTGATAAATCATCACTAATTAAATTTTGTAAAAATTTAAAGTCACTTTTATCAGCATGACTGGCATGATTCGCATTTTTCGCCTCCTTATTAAATTCAGAACATTCTGAAATAGCCGTCAAGTTATTTTCTTCAACCCGTTGAATTTTTCCTAGGCACATTCCCTTAGGGACTATTAAAGCTGTGGTGCTAGAATTTACGATCCAAAGTTTTCCTTTATTATGGGAAAGCCTGAATAATGCACAGGGAAGTGTTAACCCTTTTCCTATTAATACCTTTTTCGAAGGTTCAAAAAGTACCTGATTTTGCCCATTAAGCTCTTCACTCATAACATTTATTAGTTTGGTAGATTCGGCTGGGATTACGACGCTTCTGCTAGCCACAACCTTTCCCATGGAAGCTGGTGAATTTAGTACATCTTTGGCCTCTTCCAATCTGATTTCGGCGCGTCCACAATCAATCACGGCATTTGATGCCTCTAGGAAATCCCATCCGAGGATAATACTTGGGTTACTATTAGGGAGGACGATAAACTCAAGCGGCTGTTCCAATCCATTGATGCTCAAGCTGATTGTGCATCGGCCGATCGATGTAACATTCTTGCCATCAGCAACTTTCAGAGTCATTCCGCTATCCTTGAACATGGTCTTTTTTAATTGTCGTCTTAATCCATCAGAGATAACTGAAAAAGAGGAACCTGAATCGACCAGAGCAGAAAATGCAATGTCATCAATGATGATTTCGACATAATTTTGTTGTAATTTAGCGGCTGTCGACGATGGACAGCCGACGTCGGCTTCCCCCTCGAAAGAAGACGCGACGCTTAGTTTTTTTCTAGATTGTAGCGGCGTGGGGATTGGCTTGTATGGCGGCCTGGGGAAATGGACTGGCGTCTTGGGGATCTTCCTCTGTTTGGATACGGCGATTGTCTGCGGTAGATTTGGCTTCTTATGGCTTGGTGGTTACCCATTTGAGGTTCTTGGGTGCTTGGTGCATGTCCTTCGGGTCTCTGCGTCCATTGACGGCGTTCTCTACAATATCGCTTAACATGGCCTGGGCGGCCGCAATTAAAACATATTGGGATGTTGTCATGCGTCCTCCATTCATCCGTTCTTCGTTGTGGTGGCGTCTGGTTATATATGGGCGTTTGGGTAGGGTACTGACGTAGTGGAACCTGGTTGAATGTACGTGTTTGGTTGGGGTACGACTGTCGTGGCGGAGGCCTTTGAATAGGCTTCGAAATTGCAGCTACGTTTTTTTCAATCTCTTCTCGGATAATTTCCTTCAGAGAAGATGGTTCAGGGGTAGTTGACTCCGGATTTAGTGCGCGATGAACTTCTTCACGCACGATGCGTCGGATTAAGTCTTCCATTGATTCAGTCTGCTGAATCGATGGCGGCAACATTCGGTAGTCTGTCGAATACTACACGCTTTTTTTACACGTTTTTTATTTGAAGCCTCGATTTTTCGGCACCATTTGATGAACTCATCGATACTTGCAATGTCTAAAATGATGATTGATTGATATATCTCCTCCGATATTCCTTTCGTCAAGTGTGCAACTATTTCATTTTCCATCATAGCCGGATTCACTTCTCTGCACAGATGGAGAACATCTTGAATGTAAGAATCACTGGTCTCCTCCTTCCCCTGAGCTCGAGTTTTGAGGTTCTCTGCGAGTTGATCTTTTTGGGTGACATGATGTCCGAAATTCTGAGAAAACATTTTCACAAAAATATCCCATGAATTAATTTTCTCTTCAACATTTTCGTACCATCTGTGCGCTGTTCCTTGGAGGAAAAAATAAACATTTGCGAGGCACATTGAATCATCCCAGCAGTTGTAGCGAGCGACGCGATGGAATTCTTTCAACCATTTTTCTGGATTCTGGTTGCGTTCTCCAGTAAAAATAGAAGGGTTTCTAAAAGGTTGAAAATGGTACTCACCCATTTTTGTCTGTGTCTCTTGCTTGATCATAGCGATGTTTTCTTGAGGTTCTAATCCTTGTAGTCTTCGGCTTCTTCTAACAGCTTGGGCGGCGAGGGAATATTCCAGCTTCTCCACCAGTTGTCACGGTAGTGATAACGAGATAACAAAAGTTTAAGTAAAAATAATTTATTTATAAAATGCAAACTATTGCTAAGAATTTATTTACAAGTAATAATATACAAGAATGGTAAGGGGTGATGACTATGCAAATATTTATGATGATATACCACAGAATATTTAAAATAATTATTCAGTGATAATATCATCAAATATTATCTCTACAGACCTTACTGCAATGATAAAGTTATTGAATGCTCATCAGTAGTGAACCCTCTCAGCAGTCTCGCTAAATTAATCTCTAGATAGGATGAATACTGGAGAAGTTTCTTTGAGTGGATTGGTTATGTCACAAAAACAACTTTCAGAAAACAAAATTTGGAAATGTTACAGGATGTGGAAGACTCACCATTGGGCTGTAGGATGTCATCAACCAGACTGGGTGGCATGGCACCTGGACATCCATTCACTGACTTGTTCCAATCAACAACTTTGCAGCAGTGTAAAATGGAATATTTCAGGAACGTCCATGGGACCAATGCAATAAGAGATTTCAAAGAATAAAAGAAAATAAGACCTAATCCAAGTAATTTATTAGTGTGTGACGTTTCGGCAACAACATTGTCACCATCATCAGACAAATGATGATGGTGACAATGTTGTTGCCGAAACGTCACACACTAATAAATTATTTGGATTAGGTCTTATTTTCTTTTATTATAATCTATTATCCAAATTGTGCTTTATCAGATTTCAAAGAAAATTAAGCCTGAAATATACAAATAATCGAACCATTCTCGCATATTTTCCATAACAGAATAAGAAGATAAAAATGTACAAGATCCACATATAATACAAAGAATAAATTGCAAAATAAATCAAAATACAACTTTTAATGAATTGTGATGATGAGTACAGAATATATTATTAAAAAATTATTATTAAATATTATATATAATATATAAAAGTCAATTTCTGTCTGTCTGTCTGTTTCGCGATAAACTGAAAAACTATTGAACCAATTAGTACCAAATTTTGCATGTCGCTTTTTATAAACCTGAGGAAAATTTTCGGCTGCATTTTGATTAGTATTTTTGGCTATTTCTTTTTTTCATTTGAAGAACTTTTTTTTACGCTGACTAAACCTAATACCTAAATATGGCCATTTTTTTAAAGCATCGGTGGTTCAGTGGTAGAATGCTCGCCTGCCACGCGGGCGGCCAGGGTTCGATTCCCGGGCGATGCATTTTTTTTTTAACAATTTTTAAAACTCATTTATATTATATCTTCTATATATATAAAAATGAATGTTTGTATGTTTGTTTGTTTGTTTGTTTGTTGGTTTGTATGTCCGGTATACAAATTCGCAGTAGTTCACTAATTCAAACCAAAATTTCCATACATAGGTAAAAAAAATACGGGGAAGACGATAGGCTATTTTAAAAAATATATAAATCAATTATTAAAACTATATATTATTAGTCAGAAAATGATTATGACGATATTGCTGTATCATGTAAGATTATCAGATACAAAATTATATCGGGAAAAATTCCAAAAAGCAGAGACCACGGGTGAAACCAGCTCATTATTTTGTACGCAGGAACAAAATTCTAACAGAAAAACATTCATTCGAGCAGAAAACAAAAGCCAGATCATCTTTCTATAAAAATATCGCTTCTCAGACACAAAGTTTGGAGCGGGACGTTTCACAAGAGTGACATCCACGCCGCCAATTTATAATTGTAACGAATAGTATTTAAATAAAAACATTTAATCGGGTAAAACCCGGGCGTTGCCCGGGTCATTCGGCTAGTTATATATAATAACTATATTAAATTATATTTAATATAAGATAAAAAATATAGAAACACTGCGGGCTGATTGGATGATTAAGGGTCACATCTTCTTTCTTATCTCCACTCAATCATATTAAGGTATCAAGCTTGTAAGGTTGAGACTTTTGATGGTGTAAGGGTCACATGACAGTAAGGAACCAATCAAATAGCAAATCCTTTAGTTAGTGGTAATTTATTTTTTTTTTTAATTAACTTTTTGATTTTTAACCAACCGTTTAGGTTGGTCCATTATAAAATCCAATGTGTTACATAGTATGTGATTTCAGTTTTCTTTCAATTAGTTTACAAATAAAATGCTTGAATAGTTTTGTGCAATATATGAACCTATTTAATAATAAGATGAAAACTTAAAATAGGAAAGTTTTGGGCAATATAGCATCACATAGGACTGGAGTTGATCCAATTTCTATTTTTGCCACCAAATACTGCAAGTAACAATTCCATCCATTAGATCAAGGCATCAATCAAAAATTTCAATTAAAATAGATGCAGAATATAAATTGTACAAAGATTTTTCAGCTGCTCAAAACAAACTTTTAAGCAATTTTTTAACAGCCTTGTAAAGATGAGTTTGGATTATAGATTAGAAACACAAGGTACCAAATAGAAATATATAGTGTGACATTTCAGTAACAACGTTGTTACTGAAATGCCACACACTTTATTTATTTGGATTTGATACTTTGTGTATATAACTAGTAAATTGTAAATTTTACAAAACTAATATTTTAATAATGTAGAAAGTTTGATTTAAAAATGAGAATAATTTACTTCAACCTTTTTATACTTTATTCAGCTTTGGCAAACTTTCCAAGGAAATCTATTTTGAGAAAGCTTATTTGACACCAAGTTTTGAATGGTTTGAAACAGCACACAGCCCGTCGAAACAGAATAAAGTGTTTAAAAAAAGGTTGAAGTAAATCTTTTTAAAACTCAATTATAGAGCCAACCTGCAAAATGATTGTTTTCATAAAATGTCTACTTGTTAAACTTTTACATAAATAATAATGTCTTTATGGGCTGCGATCATACCTTGGCCTAAGATGATTCTTGAAAAACTGCTGTTTATCCATGTACAGTAATTATGTAAACAAAACAACTTGAGACTGGCTTATCCGAGGTGAGCACAACAACAACACAGTTCATGTCATTGAGGATTGTTTCAAGTCTCTACAGAGATTCTACTGTACTGGCACAATTTGGATTGTAGATTATAACTACAAGGTAATAGGACCAAGTATGATGTTTCGGTTACAACACTGTCACTGAAATGTCACACATTATTTATTTATTTGGAATTGGTCTTATTAACTTGTGTTTATAATCTATATTCCAAATTGTGCCAAATCAATTGGCCTTATTACTTTATAATTCTACTCAACTGTTTCTCTATAAATACTGTGGATTTTAATTGAGTTTTAAATATAAAAAAATATATATGATTTAAATAAAATTTAGAATGGTGTAATTGTCTTTAATATTACAAAAGTGCAAATGTATTGCTATCATAGTATAAGTGTTGAAGAATCAATTGCGCTTTTTACGAAGGCTATTTAAACAGTGATTTTTTTCTTAATATACATATATTTATAATATGATGCACTAGCGCGCCATCTGTTATCAAAATTCAAAACTATTTTATATATTTATAAATGTATGTAATTCTACTGTCCTCAAAGCTTATGTCCATAGTTCTTCTAAAATACCCATTCCAAGAGTCTACCAACAGTATCACTATAAAAGGAAGTTCCAAAAATGCAATATAACAGCAGTATGGTAAATTAAACTGGCGAAACCACTGGGAGGGTTCACCACTGATGAGCCAGGCCCTCCCTTTAATTTTTCCATTGCAGTAAGGGCAGTAGAAATTGTTTAATTTCAAAAAGAATCTTACGCCTTTAAAATAGTTTCGAATTTTGATACATATATTTAAGCAGTCTGTCGGAATGATGAGAATTTTATCATTATATATATTGCTGCTTCGTTTATTTTAGGACAGTAAAAAATAAGTATTGCATAAATGGTGAAGAATATTCATTATTTTAGTCATTGACATTTTCCTACAGGGAGTCTTTTTTTTTTTATTTTACAAAGTTTTTACAGCTTTCGTATTATCATAAATATTCTTAATATTTTATATGCTCTCAAATTGCATTTCATGGTGATTAAAAACGTATATGCACATGAAATTGAATAATTTGCTTTTTTTTTTTAAGAGAATAATTAGTATAAAACTAAGGCAACAAAAATATTATAAGCCATAATATATGTTTGTGAAATAATACATACAATACGCGACGTACTTTTAAATATATAATGCACAAAGAAAAAAATAGGTATAAACTTTGTTTTCGTTTACTTTCGCGGATTTATTCAATGTTACAAAACTTTGATTTTCAAAAAAATAAAGAGTATTAAAATAAGAAAATGAAAAATAAAAAAGGCATTTTTTTTTTTTATTATAAATTTGAAAATAACTTAAAAGGTCATATTTAAAGGGCATAAACTTAATTACCAGTTAGCTTTTAGAAAGGGGTTTTCATATTTTCCGGCATAAAATAAATTTTATAAAGAATTCATATTATTAATATATATATTAGTATAATATATAACATTTATATTAGTATAATATATAATATTAATAATAGTGAATAAACTATATTTTACCTCATCAATACATAAAAGATATTTAAAATGAAATTCAAATATTTATATTTAAATATTATTATTATTTATTTAGGTAACCCGGATTCCTGGAGCATACTAAAGTCGCCAACTATCCGGGTTGGTCTTTAGACTTCACGTCTAATGGTGGCAGCAGACATCCAGTTTATCAGGTGTCGCCAGGCTGACTTGTGCTTGGGGATGTTCTGCAGGTCTTCAGGGGCAAATATATTTATTCCTAGGAGGGTGGCTGTTTGGAACCTATGAAGGTGGTAGGCGGGACATCTAAAGAGAAGGTGGTCGACAGTTTGGTCTTCCTCGTGGCAGTGTGGGCAGGTAGGATCGTCTCTAGATAATTTTGCAGCATCGGCTTTGACAAAGCCATGACTTGTGAGTATTGTTGAGGTGGTGCCACAAAATTTTATCTTGGGCAGGATCGCCATGAGAATATTTGGGAATGCAGCTATTCTCCTGAGGTTTCTTGTGGAGTGACCTGTGACATATAATCCCTTCCAGAGTTGGTGTGAATACTGTTCGCTGCGGGCTCGAACAAACTTTTTGGATAGAGTGGAGTAGGATATGGGCAAGTTTGATTCAGCTGCTGCATTGGCTAATTTATCTGCATGTTCATTGCCTTCTATGCCGCTGTGGCCTCCAACCCAGCAGAGCTGTACGTTTAAATAGTTTAGATTGCGAACTATCTCAGCTATGAGTGAGGTTTTTGGGAGTTCTGGGTTACAAATGGCATGAAGAGCTGCCAGGCAATCAGAAGCGATTGCTGTTGGTTGTCTTTGCATGAGCTGGATCGCTCTAGTTGCATATAGGATAGCAAGTAATTCTGCCTGGAAGGAGGATATTTAAATATGAGAGAGCGTTGTCTTATAGTTCAATTCAACGTATTCAAATCTGTCTGAAACATATAGTCATATTTATAAATATGGATATATATAGTTTTTTAACTTTTATTTAGACAGTTTTAATTTATATTTAGACATTTTTTCATTTTAATTTAAACATTTTCATTTTTATTTATAGACATCGACTTTTCTATAAAAAGTCCATGTGTCTAAATTGAAATGAAAAATGCATAATTAAAGTTAAAAACCTATATATATTTAACATTTTTCATTAATATATTCTGTGGGAAACTCAAAACTTGTAGGACTTTACTCTGTGATTGGAGCATTGAACATAAAAATAAAAAAATAAAAAGGAATTTTGCTCTCGTTTATTTATTACTTGCCGAAGAAATTATAAAGAAAACATGGCTATGAATGAGGCATCTTTAGAAAATTCCTTAGTTAATAAACCCGAAATTTCAGAAGCAGACATGGAAAAGGCCGAGGAGTACAAGGAGAAAGCGAATGACTATTTTAAAAGTAATGACATTTTAGCCTCTCTTAAAATATTGGATAAAAACTATATATATATATTATATAAAATTAAACCTTGGTTTTTAAAAACATGCAGTTTTAAAATATTTTCTAAATGCATGTTAAGCTATCAAATTTATATATAATTTAAATGTTTTAGCTCCACATGGAAAAATAACAGATAAATAACCACATTTGTAAAAAAAAAATCACATTTTCTACATTCTATTGGTTTAAAATACTTATTAAAATAAAAAGTGAAAGTTTCAAATATTCTTTTTACAATCTTATAAAATAGCCTCATGATTTTCTGCCTATTTCAAAAGTATTTGATTTGTCAATAAGCAACA